TTCAGTTCCCAGCCCCCACATGGAAGCTAACAACCATCTCTAACTCCAGTTCCAGGGGATCTGACACCTTCTTCTGACCTCCGTGGGCATTGCATGACATGGGTGCACTTACACATGCAGGCAATACACTCATTCACATAAAAAATATTTCAAAAACATCTGAAGAAGTAAAGAACATAGCAAAGGTACACAAGTAAATAAATCATGGTGCTATGAGTTGGATCTGGAATCTTCTCCAAAGGCCTACATGTGAAAGGCTTATTCCTAGCTTGTGACACTCTGGAGACGTAGAAGAATTTTTAAGAGACAGAACCTGGGGGAGAAATCTAGATCACTGGGGATTTACCTTTGAAGAAGATACTATGATCTGGCCTCCTTTCTTACGTATCTTTCTTTTGCTTTCTGATTTATTTTTGTTTTATATGTATTGGTGTTTTGCCTACATTTATGTCAGTGCACCACCTGCAGGCAATGTCCATGGAGGCCAGAAAAGAAAGTTCAGTTACCGATGATCATTGCCCAGCATGTGGGTGCTGGGAACCGAACCCAGGTCCTCTGCAAGAACAGCCAGTGCTCTTCACTGCTGAGCCATTTCTCCAGACCCCATTTGCTTTCTGGATGCAATGATGTACACAGCTTTGCTCCATCATTCAACTCCTGCAGTGATGTGGCACCTGACCACAGGCCCACAAACAGCAGAGCCAGCTGAGCAGGGCTGCAACTGCAAAGCCACAAGCCAACACAAGACTTTCCTCTATACCAGTTGATTATCTCCTGTATTTAGTTTTGTTTCTTTGTTTTTGTTTGGTTTTTTGAGACAGGGTCTCAATATGTACTCCTAACTGGCCTGGAATTCCCAGAGACCCATCTGCCTCTGCCTTCTGAGTCCTGAGATTAAAGGCAAACACCTCCATTCCGGCCATCTCGTATTTTGTAATAGCAACAGAAAGCTGACTAGCACAACTTAGATAAATATAAAAGTCAGTATGGATGTATCCTTAGTGAACTCTTCTTTTCCCTCCTATATAATTTAAAAGACAACTGCAATGACCATGAATTTGAGGCTGGAGAGATAGCTTTGTGTTTAAAGCACTTGTGGTGCAAATGTGAAGACTGGAGTTTTGGACCCTGTATTAGTTAGGGTTCTCCAAAGAAACAGAACTGGTAGAATGACAAAGATTTTATATATTATTGAGACTAAGTTTGATTTGACTTTTAGAACTATAGTGCTAAAAACCAAGATGGTGCAGGGCCTGGTGGCTTACACTTTTAATCTGAACACTTGGAAGGCAGAGGCAGGTGAATCTCTGTGAGATTGAGGCCAGCCTGGTCTGCATGATGAATTCCAACCTTGCTAGGGCTACAGTAAGACCTTGTCTCAAAAAGACCAAAAACAAACAAACAACAACAACAACAAAAAAAACCCCAAAACCGAAAAACTAAGGTGCTAAGTCAGGTACAGTGGCACATGCCTTTAATTCCAGCAAAGGCAGAGGCAGGCAGATATCTATGAGTTTGAGGTCAGCCTGGTCTCCAGAGAGAATTCCAGGCCAGCCAAGGATACATAATGAGACCCTGTTTTCAAACAAACAAACAAACAAACAAATAAACAGGAACAAAAAGTGAAGAAGACAGTAAACTGTTAAGAGTTTAGTAATAGGAACAATAAGAGAATAAAAAAAAAAGGTCTACTAGAAAAGAATCAAAGTAGCCAGGCTTGGTGGTACAAGCCCGTAATCCCAGGACTTGGCAGACAGATGCATAAGGGTTACAAGTTTGAGACCTGGGCTCTAAAGAGTTCCAGGCTGCCTGGGGTATATTCAAAATACTGAGCCCCTGGGGTTGGAGAGATGACTCAACCATTGAGAGCCCTGGCTGCTCTTGCAGAGGACCTGGGTTCACTTCCCAGCATCCACATGGCAGCTCACAACTGTCTATAACTCCAGTTCCAGGGGATCTGATGCCCTCTTCTGGCTTCCGTGGGCATTGCGTGGCATGGGTACACTTGAACACAAGCAAGCTCTATACATAAATAAACACACTAATAAATAAGATATTAAGCCCCACTTCCAAGAAAAGCCAAGAGCTTTTCTTGCATACAGCTCAGAGACAGAGTGCCTGTCCAGCATGTGAAAGGCCTTAGGTTTTATCCTCAGCACCACAGAATAAAAAAAATCCCTAAAGAATTCACACAAAAACTGTTATAGTTAGTAGATAAATTCAGAGAAGTTGCAGGATATAAGAATAAACATAAATGCATCTTAGCTCTGGAAATTGTTATTGAATATGTCAATGCTGTTATAATGAAATGATGATCCTCTGGGCTCCAAAGGGTACTGGCAGCTCCACTGCTCTGACTCTGCAGTCCACAGCACACTCAGCTCATAGGCCAGCTCCATTCCACACTTACTGCTGTCCTTGGTGGTCATTTCATGGTTTTGGCATCTCCCAAAAGCTGGGGTCTCCACTGAAACTGAGGCTACACCTTCAACAATGCCCTCTTCTTGCCTCTTAGGGTGCAAAGCCTCTGATTCTCTCCATGACCCCTTCAATCCTGGGGTCTTCGCTGCAACTGAAGCTACACTTTCACCTATGGCCTTTCCTGGCCTCTCAGAGTGCCAAGCTGCCTCAGCTGCTCTGTGCCTTCATGCTTTCAACACCAGACCCATGCAGGAGACTCTTACACATTACCAAGTCCTGCTTCCAGCTTGAAATAGAGGTGCAGGTCCCCTCTGTGTGCTGACCCTGAGGCAATACCTCCCAGAAGACTCCACCACAATGATGCTGGTCTGTTGTTACTTACAGCTGATTTTTCAGCCCCAGCTAACCAGCATCAATTGTCCCAGTAAAACAAAGGTTTTGCTTCAGGTTCTGGTCTCTTCTTAGTCACAGCTGATTTTTCAGCCCCAGCTGACCAGAACCCACAGATTCTGAATTCAAAATCTGACAGAAGCAGCCCTGATAGTCTCCACTTCCCTTTGAAGCTTCACAAGCCAGGACTCCATCGTCTACAACTCTTTCAGGATAACTGTTCCAAGCTCCACTGCAACAAACTGAGTACGCAATGGCTTTTCCAGCCCAAAGTTCCAAACACTTCCACGGCCCTCCCCAAAATACCAAGGTCCGGTCTGTCATAGCAATATCTCACTCTCTAGTACCAATTTCTGTCCTAGTTTGTTCTTCATTGCTGTGACAAAACACTCTGACCACTACCAACTTGGGGAGGAAAGGGTTTATTTAGCTTACATATCCCAGGTCACAGTTCATCTGGGAGCCCAAGGTAGGAACTTAGGGCAAGAACCTGGAGGCAGGGGCTGGAGCACAGGCCATGGAGGAATCCCACTTACTGGCTTGCTCCCCTGGCCCCTGCTCAGCCTGCTTTCTTATGCAACACAGGCCCACCTGCCCAGGGGTGGCACCACCCACAGTGGGCTGGGCCCTCCCACATCACTCATCAAGAAGATGCCCCTCAGACATGGCCCCAGGCCAGTGCAATAGAGGCAATTCCCCAATTGAGGCTCCCTCAACCCAGGTGTGTCAAGTTGACACTAAAGCTATCCAGCACATAAACCAAGGAAATATTAAGACATACACTGAAAACTATAAACCATTGTTGAATAAAATTACGAGCCCTAAATTAATGATCAGCTATCTCGTGTTCATCGATTGCAAGATTGACATTGTATACATGATAAAGCAATCCGCAGCATCAAAGTAATCCTTGTCACAATTCCAGCTGTTATGGTTTTCTGTAGAGACAACAAGGTGAAGAGAAGATTCATAGCGAATCTCAAGGTCCCTTTGTGATGGTTTGTTTTGTCAACGTGACGGTGACCTAGAATCACCTAGTAAGAGAGTCTCCCTGAGGGATGGTCTAGATCATATTGGCCTGTGAGCGCAACTGTGGGGGGTTCTCTTTGATTATGTTGATTGATGTGGGAAGACCCAGTCTGAAAGTGATGACACTATTTCCTGGGTTTGGGCCCTGAGTTGCTTAAGAGTAGAGAAATTGAGCTGAGCAATAGCATGCATCATTAATCTGTCTCTCTGCTCCTGACTGTGGACGTGACTGGCTGTTTCAAGTTCCTACTACCGTGACTTTCCTGCAGTGACAGACCTGGAATTGTGATCTGAATAAATCTTTTCTCTCTGAAAGTTGCTTTCATCAGGGTATTTCATCACAGCACCAGAAATGAAACTGAGACACATCCTAAGTAATCAAAGTTGGAAAACTCACACTTCCTTTTCTTTTTGGGTTTATTTATTTTTAAAGGGGCAACTTTTATTCCTTTTCCAAATGTTACAGTAAATCCAGGTGGAAGAAATTGGTTTTAGCAATTAGAAAAAAAAAAAAGTACGAATCTGGGGTTTTGGCCATTAAAAGTTATTTACACCGATGGGAGAAAAAGACAACAAGAAGTTGTTTCACATTTCAGACCTCCCTCCCACCCCAAGCCTACTACTTGCTTACCAGGTCAGAAAAGAGACACAGTTGACGCACAAGCTGGAGGTTTGAACTTGAGTAAGACATTTATAAAAACCTAGACAGGGGCAATGTCCTCCCCAACCACTAGGCACAGCACGAGCTACTAAACTCAACAGGGGGAACGCTGGAAACTCAGGGTTTGGGAGCACCCCACTCCTGGCTCAGGGGTTTGGAGAGTAGGAGAAACAAAACCTACTTGGAAAAGAATTGGGAAGAAAACCAGCAATTGCCTTCGCAGGGGTGGGGCCAGGGAAGGTGGGGGCAGGAGCATTTCATATCTCTAACCTAACTTGGGAAACCGCAGGGGACCATCTTCAACTGGCCTTAAGAGGAAGACCAGACAGCTAATGTGAGAATCCACAGGAGGGAGAGGAGTGGGAACGTGGCTGGGAGGGGGACAACAAGCCCTTCTGGCCACAGGAAGGCAGCCAGGGCACCAGGTCCAGGCAGTGACCTCACAAGGACAGCACAGTTTTTGCAGCTTAGAGATCACCCACCTGCCCCAACCCAGCTACTAGATCTGCTCAGCGCTGGCAGATGCAGGGCCACTCTCGGGCCAGAGAGAGTGGAGGGCTCTGCAGCCTGGGGCCCTGCCTCCTCTTCTGTGTCTCCTCCCTTGGAAGCAGCACTAGCCTCTGCCCCCTTGGCTTGGGGCTCCTGGCTTTCAGGGGTGGCAGCAGCCTTCCCTTCCTGGGCAGTGCCCTCGTCGCTGCAGGCGCTGATCTCCCCCTGCTCCTGCTCTTCCTCTGTGGGCGAGGAGGCAGAAGAATCGTCCCCACTCTCCTTCCGATTTCTCTTGAAGGACAGGCCGGTCAATTTCAAAGTGTTCTTGAAAGAGAATTTTTTCTTCTTGGGGGTCTCCTTCGGGGAGACCTCTCCCTTGGCTTCAGCTCCCTGGCTAGGGGGTGCAGGCTCGATGGCATCGCCAGTGGCCCCAGGTGCTTCATCTGTTCTGTCCATTGGGAGCGACTCCCCTTCACCCTTGGGGGACAAGTCTCCATTGCTTCTCACGTGGCCATTCTTCTGTCCGTTGGCCTTCGTTGGGGTAGAGCCCGAGGCCTCCTAGGGGCGGTCACGTCGCCCCGGGGAGCCTTGGAGCTCCGGTTGCCCATGATGGGGGTCTACTGGAGGGCGCCCAGAGCCGCCCAGGGCTGCGCAGCAGGGAATCGTTCGGCGGGGTCGCCAGGTGGGCAGAGGGGTGGGGCTGGCGCCCAAGGGGGAGGGGTGTTGGGGGGAAAGCGAGCTGTAACACCCCTCACACACACACACACCCGCTAGCCGCAGCTGCTGCCGGCCACCGTGCTCCAGGTGCAAGAATGCCGCCTCAGATTTATTTATTTTTATTTCATGTGTATGGGTATATCATATGCATGTATGTAAGAGCACTCATGTCATGCAATGCCCATGGAGGCCAGAAGAGGGTGTCCTATCCCCTGGAACTGGAGTTATAGATGGTTGTTAGCCACCACCTGCGTGCTGGAAAGTGAATCCTGGTCCTCTGAAAGAGCAGCCAGTGCTCTTAACCACTGAACTTCTCTCCAGCCCTTCACACTTCTTTTTTGCTTTTACTTATTTGTAGTGTGTGTGTGTGTGTGTGTGTGTGTGTGTGTGTGAGGGGAGTGCATATATATGTATTTTGGTGTGTGTATAGGGGTCAGAGGACAACCTGTGCGAATCAGTTCTCTCCTTTCCTTCCACCATATGGGTTCTGGGAATTGAACTAGGGCTTGGCAGCAAGCACCTTTACCCAACTGAGTCCAGCTCACATTTCTTTGATTTCAAAATGTCAAAACAGTGTCCCTACAGCCTCACTGCATAAACCAGGGTGTGGTGCCATGCGGCTCTGTAATTTCAGCACCAGGGAGGCAGACACGGAATATCTGCGGCAAGCTGGCTACCTAGACTAGCCATAATTGGCAAGTTTTGGGTTCAGTGAAAGACTCTGCCTCAGTAAATGAAGTGGAGAACCATCGAGAAAGACATCTGACGTCAACTTTGGGCCTACACGCTCATGTACACACACATACAGTCACACATGGGAACACACATACACACACACACACACACACACACACACACACACACTGATAATAAATGTAATTTAAATTTTTTGGCCTGCATTTCTAACAAGCTTTGATGCTACAAGGCCCAGACCTGTTTGGGCAGCCATATTCTGGGAGGGAGGGACCTGAAGAGTCCATAGAGAAAAGGCTATTGCTTCTAGAACTTCTCTCTCAGGAGGTTATACTATGTAGGACATATTTACATCAAGAAACTACTCATTGTAGAGGCTGGGGTGCAGCTCAGTGCTGGAGCTTGTCCTTAGAAGGCAGGAGGCTCTGTTTTTGTGTTTGTTTATTTGTTTGGTTTGTTTTTAAAATCCAAGCCAGATGTGGTAGCTCATGCATCACAATACTCATGAGGCAGGGGCAAGTGGATCTCTGTGAGATCAAGGCTAGCCTGGTTTACATAGCGAATTCCAGGCCACTTTGGGCTGCAGGGAGACTCGGTCTCAAATTGCCCCCCCCCCCCCGCCAAAATCCAGTGTATAGTAATGGTATGTTGTGTAAACCTTTAATCACTGCACTTGGGAGGCAGAGACAGGCAGATCTCTTTGAGTCTGAGGGCAGCCTGATCTATATAGTGAGTTGGAAGCTAGCCAGGGTTACATAATGAGATCCTGTCTCAAAAATAAAAAATAAACAAATGCATCATTTAACTGGGCATGATGGCTCCTGCCTGTAATCTCATCACTCTGGAGGTAGAAGGAGGAAGATGAGGTGTTCTAAGGTAGTCCAAGCTATGAGAGACTTTGTCTCAAACAAACCAAAACCCAAACAAAAATCCATTGTTTATCAGCAATTCCCATTTCAGTGATTGTCCTATATTCCTGTTTGCTAGATCAGCCTGGAGTTCAGCCAACCTGCATCTAGGAAGGTAAAGGAATTAAAGCAGTGTGCTTAGGGGCCTGCTGACTCAACAAAGTGGCCAGCAGGGACCTAAGTACTCCTCTGGCTTGCCCTTTCTCATCCTCACCAATACCTGTCCATCTGGAATAGCCTTTCCTATCCCTCAAGAGTCATCGCCCATGATAATAAGATGTCATCCTTCAACACATGGCCTGGTGGCTAAACACAGAAGAGCACAAGCACAGGACACCCTGGAACAGGGGAGATGCCACACCAACCTCAAAGGTAAATTCCTGCTGTCTTGCTCCAAGTCTAACTCTGTGTCTTCAGGCAAGTCATTTTCCTATATTTATTTGCGATAAGCCGAAGGCAGAAATCCATAGCCACCTTGTTACAGCACACCAAGCCACTTAAGATTGAGGGGCTGGGGTGACCAACAGGCAGGGAGTGTGTGACCACAGCCAGGTAGACCCATTCCCAGAGCCGTTCTTCCTTGTTCCTGGTCATTAGCATGGTCCCAATATGTGGGATGCAGTGGAAAGGTGGGGATGGGGTCAGGGGCTCACCTGGCTGGCCTCAGCAGGGCAGAGTCCATGGATCACAGCGCAGCTCAGAGATGGAAGCTCTCCCCCAGGCTGTGCTGAAATCTCACCATGTGTCCCTCCTTGGGTTGGCTCTGGTCTATTCTCCTCTATTCCATTGCTAATGGCAGCATGTGGCTTGGCGATGCCGGACTGATGTGCCTTCCAGTCCCTCTGCTTGCCTGGTCCCTGTCATTCTTCTGGTCAGGCATTATGTGCCAGATCTCTTTGAATGTCGAGTCTCTCCAGCTTTAGCAATCAGGCCTGTCTGATGTCAGGGTAGAGGTGTCTACTGCCTTCCTCCCTGTCCCTGGATTGGCACTAGCTACCCTCTTCCTTATCCAGCTATGCCACCCGCTTTTCTCCTCTTGGCATTTACCCTGCTTATTATGTGATTGGCCCAGGAGGGGGGTGTGGGTTGGCAGGCACCCTAGGCAGAGCCTGGAGGCAGAACCCAGGCCTGCCTGACCCACCCCAGGGCCTCCTGCCCACTGCCCCCTTGCCAAGTGTGCTGGATAGCTTTAGTGTCAACTTGCCACACCTGGGTTGAGGGAGCCTCAATTGGGGAATTTCCTCCATTGGACTGGCCTGTGGCCATGTCTGTGGGGCATTTTCTTGATTGTTGAGTGATGTGGGAGGGCCTAGCCCACTGTGGGTAGTGCTGCCCCTGGGCATGTGGGCCTGTGTTAGATAAGAGAGCAAGCTGAGAAGGGGTCAGGGGAGCAAGCTAGTAAGCAGTGTCCCTCCATTGCCTGTGCTCCAGCTGCTGCCTCCAGGGTCATGCCCTGAGTTCCTATCTTGGGCTCCCTAATGAACTGTGACCCAGGAGATGTAAGCTGAATAAACCCTTTCCTCCTCAAGTTGAATAAACCCTGGGAAACCCTGGAAAAACCCTGAATAAACCCTTTCCTCCTCAAGTGGTCGGAGTGTTTTGTTACAAAAATAGAGAAACAAACTAAGATAGAAATTGGTATCAGAGAATGGGATATTGCTGTGATAGATATGTCCTTGGTATTTTTAGGAGGATTGTGGAAGCGTTCTGAACTTTGGGCTGGAAAAGCCATTGAGTCGTCAGTTTGTTGCTTTGGAGCTCGGAACAGGTATGTTGAAAGAATTGTGAACAATGGAGGCCTGGCTTGTGAAGCTTCAAAGGGAAGTGGAGACTATCAGGGCTGTTTGTGTGAGATTTTGAGTTGAGAATCTGTGGGTTCTGCTCAGCTGATGCTGAGGAATCGGCTGTCATTGAGAAGAGACCAGAACCTGAAGTAAAACTTTTGCTATACTGAGACAATTGATGCTGGTTAGGGGAGCTGAAAAATCAGCTGTAAGTAACAAGAGACCAGCATCACTGTGGTGAAATCTTCTGGGTGGTATTTCCTCAGGATCAGCACACAGAGGGGACCCGAACCTCTGTCTCTAGCTGGAAGCAGGACTTGGTAGTGTGTAAGAGTCTCCTGCATGATTCTGATGTTGAAAGTGTGAAGGGGTCACAGAGAGCAGCTGAGGCTTGGCACTGTGAGAGGCCAGGAAGGGCCATAGGTGAAAGTGCATCTTCAGTTGCAGTGAAGATCCCAGGATTGAAGGGGTCATGGAGAGAATCTGAGCCTTTGCATCCCAAGAGGCAAGAAGAGGCCATTGGTGAAGGTGTAGCCTCAGTTTCAGTGGAGACCCCAGCTTTTTGGAGATGCCAGGACCGTGAGATGACCACCAAGGACCGCAGAAGGTGTGGACTGGAGCTGGCCTGCGTCTGCAAGATGAGCTGTTTGTGTTGTGGATGGCAGAGTCAGAGAACTCCAGTACCCTTTGGAGGCCAGAAGATCGTGAGTGAATCCCAGATGTTAAGCCTTGAGCTACTTTGCTGGACTTTGGCTTTGCTTAGGTGTGCCCAATTATTCCCTTTGAAATAAGACAGTACTTGTTTTGGATTTTACAGAAGCCCACCCACAGTTAAGAGACTCTTAAGAGACTATGGACTTTTAAGTGTTTGGATTTTTTAAGGACTGTGGGGTTTTTAAGGTTGTACTGTCTTATGTTGTGATATTAACATACCTTGGGGACAAAAATTGGAAAGTTTATGGTTTAATAGTGATGTTTGTGTGTCAAGTTGACAAGGGGTCAATTGTGTTGGATAGCTTTAGTGTCAACTTGACACACCTGGGTTGAGGGAGCCTCAATCGGGAAATTGCCTCTATTGGACTGGCCTGTGGCCATGTCTGAAGGGCATCTTCTTGATGAATGATGTAGGGATCCTCAGTTGGGGAATTGCCTCCATTGGACTGGCCTGTGGCCATGTCTGTGGGGCATTTTCTTGATTGTTGAGTGATGTGGGAGGGCTCAGCCCACTGTGGGTAGTGCTGTCCCTGGGCACATGGGCCTGTGTTGGATAAGAGAGCAAGCTGAGAAGGGGTCAGGGGAGCAAGACAATAAGCAGTGTCCCTCCAAGGCCTGTGTTCCAGCTTCCAGGTTCCTGCCCTGAATTCCTACCTTGGGCTCCCTAATGAGCTGTGACCTAGGAGATGTAAGCTGAATAAACCCTTTCCTCCTCAAGTTGGTAGTGGTCAGAGTGTTTTGTCACAGCAATAGAGAAACTAAGACACCAAGCCTGGTCCTTTTCTACTTGCC